GTGTTTGTATTATTCTTGTAACATTCAAAGTGGATAATTACAAAATGAGTAGTTTACAAAATTCGATTTATTGTTTGGTGTGTGTCTGTATTTTGTATCCAGTTACATTATTCATTGCAACCAATTGTGAAATAAACAACGACTTTATGAAAAAAGTAGCACTCTTATGTGGTGAAGTATCGTACCCAGTTTTTATGTTACACGTTTCTTTTCAAATTGGGAAAAACTTTATCAAAATTATGAATATTTTTCGTGGTTTGCATACTTTCAAATCGCATTTGTAGCGTTCATGTTTTCATGTGGTGTTTTAAAATATTACGATGAGCCTGTGAAAAATTTACTTTCACGATTATTATTCAAAAGAAAATCTAAAAATTGATTTTTAGCTGATTTTAATTAATTTGGGAATGTGATTATATTATAAATCAACAAATTGTATTTGAAATAGTAATTAGAGTCATTCCATGTCAAAATCTTCTTTTATATAAATATTAATAACCAAAAAATTGTCAATATAATTTAAACATTAAAAATACATGAAATGAAGAAAAAATAAAATATATTATATTTATTATAATTAATATAAATTCATGGTGGTTAAATATCATTTTTTTATTTATTTCTCTTGTAATGAAAAATCTTTTTGATGTAAAATGTTATATAACGCAATAAAATTATAATTGAAAAATTAAGTGTGTATTTTTGTCTCAATATGTTTTAACACTTAAAATAATGCCCTTATTTTTGTTTTGGCCTGTTTTTACAGAGATATCAATCAAATTATTGATAATTTCCTTTTTTGGCTTGTGTATAATTTATGCAGATAATATGAACTCTAAAAACGGAAATTTATTTAATAACCTCCAGATTTCCCTATTTTTAAACCACTAGAATTTTGTTCAATGTTATTTAAAGTTTTGACTTAATAATTCTATCGTTTTTAAAGAGTACAATTCTTAAAATATTGAAAAGAAAGAAATTTGTTCATATATTTAAATGTTCCAAAATGTATATTAAACCACACTAATTAAAAAATGGTGGTTTACTATTTATTTAAAGAAAATAACGAGCTTATTTCAACGTGTTCATTAAATTACAGAAAATGGTAAATATAAAAAGTGTAACCAAAATTTTAAAAATTGTGATAACTAATTTAATGAAAAATTCAATTGTTTTAAATGTGCAAATTTAATTGTTGTTGTATTCGTGACACAAATAAACGTGTTAAAAATTGTGATGATAATTATCACCAATTCAAAAACTTGGAACCCAATCCAAAAAGTGTTAAAATGTGAACAAAAATGCATTTTATGTTTAAGAGCTGAAAATAATTTTTGTGACAAATGTGATTCAAATAAAATTTCATAAGATGAAGCTATTTCAAACAATTGTCAATATCAATGTCATGAAAAATATTTTAATATCACTGAAATGTTAGTAAAAAAAATGTACTAATTGTCTAGTAATTGGAACTTATTTTACATGTAAATCAAAAATAAAAATGTTGTTTTCATATTTGTCTTCACTAAATGTGAAAACAACCATTTTTTCAAGCAAATTTTACACGTAGAAACACTTGTCCCGAAAAATAAAGAAATTGTGATGAAAACAGAGAAAAATGTTTATCACTTTGTAGTGGCTGTCAAGCATCTGGTGAAAGCAGATATTATGTTTGTGAATTAAACATATGTATTATGTGAAACAAAACACTTTTAATTACATATGACAAATAATGTTTGTAAATAAATAACACAAGACCGTTTTGGACATATAAAATGTAATGAAATTAATTGGAAAGTGTGTAAAATATCCACAGAAATAAAAAGGTTGATTTTACTAAAAAAATATTAAATTGGATTTAAAAATGTAATGATGAATGCCAATTACACATTAAATGAAAGTCGAAAAAAGTTGCAAATTTGTTTGTTTAATTGATACAAAAATTTATCAAAGTGCAAAAAATGCACATCATAAATATGGATGAAATGTTCGTACAAACAGAGAAATAAATTTGTAATTTATTGGTTGTTAATTAAGAAATGAAAATGGTGGTGTATTTGGTACATTTTTTGTACTTTCATGTTTATATCAAAGTGTCAAAACTCAAAGTTTGAAATTGAGTCTTGACAAATGGAATTGACGAGTCACCTATGCCTATAAAAAGAAACTTATGTCAAATCGATTATCAGCAAGCATGGTGTTTCACTTGGAGATGTTTGAAAATGTTACAACAAAACACAACACGCCTTTACATAACAAGGCAGTCAAAACAGTCACATACATCACACTGAACAAGCAAGACGATAAGAAACAGAAACGGTGGGCTTATCAAAATCTCAAGAACAAGAAATTATAATGTAAAAACCCAACGCACATTGAAATACGTTCACAGTTTGCTTTCATCTGATTGCCATTCAATTTGATTTGATTGTTTCTTATTTTAACAATTTAAATTCTTGAATAATATTATCAAATTATAATGATACAAAATAGAAATATACAAAAAATAGTCAGACAGACTTCAGTGCCTCTCATCTCAGAGTGTTGTGCACGCACTCGACCCCTCAACAAGCAGTTCATCGTGCATTGCTGCGTATCTCCCTTTGGCACTGAAGTGATGAAAGTCTTCATCCTATTTTGTGAATTCTATTTGTTACATAGAAAGTGACATACTCTAAGAATGATCCTAGTCGTACGGTCTAGTTCTTCATTTAATGATATTCTTATTTATTTATAATTTTATGTTTTCATATTATGGGATTTTATTTTATTTCTAATTACATTGAATAATTTAATTTACTACTATTTATAATATCAATTATTAAGTTATTAATATATATATAAATATACTATAAATAATACTAATTCCAATAATGTATCAATATTATTTTATAATTATTATTATTAATAAAAAACTAAGACGGTTTTTTTAATTAAAATAATTAAAATAATTAAATAATTAAATAATTAAATATTAAATATTAAATATTAAATA